GCGTATCTGCCGCGGGTTGAGATTCGGCTGCGCCCTCAGGTACTGTAGTGATTTGTGATCGGTTCGCACCGTCACGTCTGCTCCAGTCAGGTAGCACCGCCAGATTTTGAACGCGTGGACGATCGCCAGCATCTCCTTGTCGTGTACTGGGTAGTTGCGCTCAGCAGATTGCATTTTCCGAGACTCGTACGCGATTGGTTGAAGCCCGTTGCCGAAATCCTGCATGAGCACTGCTCCGATGGCGATGTCACTTGCGTCGGTGATGACTTCGAAGGGCCGTTCCGGGTCAGCGATGCGAAGCACCGGTGGCGACATTAAAAGAGTTTTTAATGCCTCAAACGCAGCTTGCTGCTTCTCCCCCCACTCGTAAAAAGTTCCCTTCTGCAGTAGGTCGGTTAGAGGTCCAGTTAACCCCGCCATGTTGGGTATAAACCTCCGCACGTAATTCACGAAACCCAAAAAGGATTGCAGCTGCTGCAGATTTGTTGGCGGTTGCCACTCCTGAATAGCCCGGAGTTTTTTCGGGTCTATTCGAATCCCCTCCGTGGATATCACATGCCCCAGGAACTCCAGTTCTTGTTTTAAAAACTCGCACTTGGAGCCCTTGGTGATGAGTCGATGGTGCTGCAACCGCTGAAAAACCGCTTCCAAATCTTGTAAATGCTGCTCCCGGGTCTTGCTGTAGATCAGGATGTCGTCCAAGTAAATTATCACGCATTTGTCGAGTAGATCGCGGAATACCCCATTCATGGTGAGTTGAAACGTCGAGGGGGCGTTCGTTAATCCAAACGGCATCACCGTGTATTCGTAACTCCCATAGCGAGTACGAAACGCGGTCTTGTGGCAGTCGTCAGCGAACACTCGAATTTGATGGTAACCGCCACGAAGGTCGATCTTCGAAAAGTAACGAGCTCCGCGAAGGTTGTCGATCAGTTCGTCCGTTCGTGGGATTGGGTAGCGCGATTTAATCGTTACCCGATTAAGGGCACGATAATCCGTACACATGCGAAGTCCACCGTCCTTTTTTGGTGTGAACAGGATCGGTGCTGCGAACGGGGACGTGCTCGGCCGAATGAACCCTTTCGCCAGCAGGTAGTCCAACTGGTTTCGTAACTTCTGTAGCTCCGGCTGAGTCAGGCGCCATTGCGTGCGTACAGTAGGCTGCGCGCCGGGCTCCAGCTCGATTTTGTGGTCCTGGGGTCGTTCGGGTGGCAGTCCACTTGGCAAGTCGTCCGGGAAGATCTCAGGATATTCTCGAATGATTTTCGCCAAGTCATCCGGGACCGAGGCGCAGAGTTTGTTGATGTCGGTCGCCTCATTCTGCTCCGTCGATTCGATTAGATGGACGGCGTATAAATCCGCTCCATTCTTGACCGCTCAATTGAGGCACACCGCGTTGACTCGTGCCGATGTTGTCTCTGCTTCCGGCCACGTGAGTAATTTTCGCCAACCTTTGTCGCACTTCACTGTGCACTCGCCTGTTGTCCAATCGATCTGTGGGTTGAATCGTCGCAGCCAGTCGCGTCCCAATAGCACGTCGTAACCGTCGAGCGTTGTCGCCAGCATCGGCGCGCTGAAACCAAAATCTTCGCCACACTTCATTCGAACGACAGGTACTTTGTCGCGTATCGCCAGCGGGGTGCCGTCCACCAATCGTGCGTCGATTTCGGGTAGACACCTCTCCAGCGTCAGGTGTAGTCGTCGTGCTGTCTCTCGATTTATCAGGCTATGACTCGCACCTCCGTCGATGAATATTTTTATTTTTCGTCCCTGAAGTCGTCCTTCTGCCAGTACATGGTGGTCCACTGGGTCATCCTCCCTTTTCAGCCGGGAGCGGTTGATAGCATGTATCGGAACCACTACTCGGTGGGGATGCTGTTTTTCGGGCGATGAGACAGGGTCAGTAGGGGGCCCGACCGCTACTGACGCTTGGCGTTTCCCGACCTGTCCTCGTCGTTCTTCTTTATCTGCTTCTTTCGGGGGCAATTGTGAGATTGGTGACCCGGCTGGTGGCAGTTGAAACATTGTCCCTTGCGAAAATCGTCCATGTGCTCCTTCGCCACTACGCCGTGAATCGTGGGCCGTGGATTCTGGCCGCGAAAACGATTTCCCTCCCGGGAACCCGCTCTCGCATACGTCCGATGTGCGTCGAAATTATCTGCGATCCGGACAGCTTCGTGAAACGTCGCCGGTAGTCGCAGTCGGACCTCGCATTTAATGTCCTGCTTCAAGCCCGAAATGAATCGAGCTTTCTTCTCGGAGTCATGCATGTCGGTGATTTGATCGCATAACGCCATGAAGACCGACGCGTAATCCTGGACAGAACTCCACTGGCGCCAGTTGTCCAGCTTCGTACGTGCGTTGTCCGAGGCGGATATGGGCTCGAACCGTTCACGCAGAGCTGTACCCCACGCCTTCCACGTGCGAATCTTGGTCGATCCAAAAATCGCGGTTGACCCTTGGGCAGCAGACCCAAAGTTTCCGAAAAACCCCTGTGTGTCGCCTGCCGAAAACTCCCCCTCCTGTAGAGTATATCGCCACCAATCTAGCGCAGATCCCCGCAGTAGTGATACAGCCAGTCGAATTTTTAACTCGTCAGCAGTGATCCCAGCGGCATTAAAATAAAGTTCTGCCGAAAATAACCAGCCCGTAACAGTAGTATTCTTATCTGTGGGATTGAACGGGGGCGGCATTGTCGGTTTGATTGTCGCTGTTGTCACGATCGGCATAAACGCCGGTGCGGCTACAGTAGCGGCTGCTTCTGACCGAGCGGCTGCTGCTGTCGCTGCTGCTGCTGCTTCGGCTGCTGCTCCTGCTGCCACGTCAGCTGCTGCGGCGGCTTCACTATCCTTGCGCTCCTGTGACACCTGACGTGCGATTTCGTCCAAGACGGTTTCGACACGTCCGGTGCTGGCGACCTCCTCTTGGGCGGCAATTTTCTGACGCGAATCCTCTCGCGCCTGGCGTAACTCAGCAACTTCCGCACGAAGTCGCTCGTTGTCCTCCAGCACTGTAGCCATGCGCGTGTTCATGGCGTTGAACTGCTCCCGAAGCTCGTTGAACTGAGCTTGGTCCATTTGGCGAATGCTCCGCCGGGGCAGGGGGAATTCCGTCGTGTGCCTGTACTCAGGTAAGCGCAAACGCTATCGTAGTTGGGCGAATTAATCAATCTAATTCACGGGCAACCGCTTTGCAGCTTACGTGAGGGACCTACCCCACCCCAAAAAAAATCAACTCACGAAAACGGGTGAGCGAGGAAAGTGGCTCTGATTACCAGGTGTTATGAATGAACAAGCAGAGTAGCGCGGAAATGAATAACGAAGTGTTCACTCAAATGAATGACGATACAAGGAATGGCAAGCCAAGATATAGGAACACCAGAGCTAGTCTAACCATGCGATGGGAAGGTTCGGGAAGGAGATCGAAGGGTCTCGAAGTGACGAAGCGAGGCCTGGAGAACTCCCGAAGGTCGAACCGGTAAGTCTGGAAAAACCGAGGCGGTTCTGTCAGAAGGTCTGGAACAGTCCCGAGGCTTCAGGTGTGTTCGAGCGTACGCGCTAGCAGTACCGCTCGGTAAGGAATGGAAAATTCCTTACACACTGATTCTGGTGTTACAACTTGTTAATACTGGCTGTTACTGGAGGCGCTTCTTGTTAAAATTATATAAGTTATAATTTAATATAGGCTTGGTAGGTTGTTACTGAACCTTTCTGTAGAGGGTACAAACCCCTTCTTGTACTCCTCTCTCTTCCTAATCAAAAACCCCTTTCTTCTCGACATTCTCTCCCTTCCTAGATCCGTTTTCCTCACGCCATTCCATGGCGGCCCTTCTTCCTAGTATACTAGCCAACCTAGCCTCCTAAGTTTAAGAACCTTGAGTCCTAAGTTTCTAAGACTTCCAGTATTACTTTCTACTTCAAGTACTTGTGTCTGCAGATTCTATACGTAGTCTCATGCACCACCTTTTCAATTATTTCATAGTCTAAGTGTAGTATCAGGAATGCATAAGTAAACTCTGTCGAGTATACTTCAACAATATCATCTGCTATCATCACAAGAAGCACAATATCAAAAGTCAGCAACTAGATACAAGCATCCCCTTATCTTGTATGACACATTGTTTTCTTAGTTTGTAACCAGTTTCGAAGAGCCAACGGAGGGTTGTGAAATCAGTAGGTTTCGTACAGCGGGGATGAATTGGAATTCCAATCGGCGCTTCTGTGATGTCAATTGGCTTGGCACCTGCCCTGCATCTTCACTCCGCCTTCTCTCCCCCTATCTTCCCCCTTCAATCTTCCTCCTTCCTCCCCCCCCTCTTCACTCCGCTTTGCCCGGACTGCGAGCAACACCCCACCCAAAGATTTCCTGCTAAGGGCGTGTCCCCAAAAATCGTCCCTCTTTTTTGACAGGTGGAGCCGTTTGACGGTACGCAATGTGAATCGATTTTGAAACAGATCCCGATTTGGGACCAGGTCCGAAATGAAGGGTGCAGTTCGAAAGGACAGCACCGAGACCAGCATAGACATAGGAGCGGGTAACGGGGTACCACCATGCGAAGCCAGCGCGATGCGCGTGTAACAAAATGAGGTCCAATCGGCGCAGCGGGGGTAGGTTCGTCGCTAGCGACGTGCGAGGCTGCAAACTGTCGCTAGAGATTCTCGCTAGAGTGCCGCTGGTACTGGTTATCAACTGGATTTTTGTGTGGTCTTTTTTGTCGTGCGGTGTCCGCTAATTTCGGGTGTGAGCTGGGCGTGTCTTGTTTGGGCATGTTTTATGATCACATACCTAAAAGTGGTAACTGAACTCGATGTTGAACGAGGGACGTACTTTAGTGACACGCCCTAAAAACCCGAAGCTCAACCTCAACACCGCCCTTTATCCGCCAGGGGGTGTCACTTCATGCTGCAGGCTGTTGGTTCTTCCTGTGCAGCCCAGCTCCCTACATGGTCAAAAGTCCACTCGCGAGCAACATGCGTGCAGCACCTTTCTCGCGCGGCCCGCAAATCAACCGCCCAGTTTCGTCGCGGAATGCAACGCTAATGCTTATGCCTAGAGTTAGCATCGAGGACCGAATGCCAGAGCCGAATATCGCGCATGCGGCGCAGGGTACCCCCTACCGCTCGCGCCCGCTTTTCCGCGCTCCTTCCGCCCAATTACTGCGCGCCACCCAGATTGAACCGCCAGAGTAGCCTCCGCGATTCAGGCTGCTACGATTCCACAAACCACACAAGCCATTTTTCAGGACACGCTCGCCATGCCTCGACTCTGAGTCGCCTCAAACAAGCTTCGAATGCCGATCGGGCCTGTCAACGGCGCAGTAGATGTCCATTCAAAGCAGTTCAGGCTAATCTCACCGAGTTTCAACCCTAGACTGACCAGTGCACATACCGCCGATACATGTCTCTGCGCAAACGTCACTCTTTAGCGTACGTTTACAGCATCCCAACTGCCTTCCCCCCACCGGCCCAAATACTTGAGGCAGTTTCGTAGCTTCCAAGCCGCGACTCGGAGAACGGTAGAATGGTTAACCGCCGATACTGTCACGCTAGCAGCAGCCATTCTGGGTGCGAGAGGTTGTTGTTGGGGCGCTCGGCGGCCTTGCTGTGTGCCGTGCTCACGGCTCCGAGCCCAGTCCAGTCGAGACGGGGGAGTGATATAAAGCGGGCGAGAGTAAGCCGTGGAAGCCAGAACAGTCTCACCGCTCTATTTGGTCATCGCGCTTAGTACTTTCTGCCGCTAGGACATCCTCTCGCACTATCTTCCGCGCACTCAGTTTCTTCGGTTCTCTTCCCTTTTTCGTGGGGAAAATGGCCTTCCGCGCGCGAAATGCGGTCACCCCGTGGGCAATGTTCGCCAGTGGCGTCGCAGCGCTGCTCGTCACCTGTCTGCTGAGCGCCAGCGTCGTTACGGCGCAGGTCAAGCGGCCGCAGGTGATGCCGCCTGACTGGCAGCAGGGGCAGGGGGAGGGGCAGGGGCAGGGGCAGGGGCAGGGGCAGGGGCAGGGGCAGGGGCAGGGGCAGGGCCAGGGCCAGGGGCAGGGGCAGGGGCAGGGGCAGGGGCAGGGGCAGGAGCAGGAGGAGCCGGACTGGAATGCGCAGATCATGCGGGCGCAGGTGGAGCCAGACTGGATGGAGATGGGGCAGGTGCGATTGCCGGCAGTGCTGGGAGGAAGGCCGGACTGGGACGCGCAGATGGAGTCGATTCTCCAGCAGGTCTCCCAGCAGACCTTCCTCTCGTCCTTTGCTGAGATCTTCACCTATTTCTGTGAGTACCGAACCGCTCAGAACCGTTTTCAACGGACTGCTTTGCTTCCTAAGGACGGGTAGACGTTTTCATTGGTCTATCTATCTTGGTTTTAGCGCAGCCGTGTTTCCAATCTTCTCTCTCTCCTTTCCCCTGCCTCTCCTCTCCCCTGCCCCTGCTCCCCTGCACACCAAACGGGCAGTCGTCTCTTGACCAGAATGCAACCCTCCTCATCCCCACTAACGTGGTCCACTGTCGCTACATCACCCACTGAAACCCCTCCCTTATTTTCTCTTCCTTTCTAACTCTCTTCCCCTGCCTCTCCTATCCCCTGCCCCTACTACCCCCTGCAGACCAATCCGGGCAGCTGTACATCGACCAGAATGCGACTCTCCTCATCCCCACCAACGTGGGCCACTGGAAGTACCTCACGCAGTGGAACACCCTCTCGCCCAAGCAGAAGCGCGTGTTACTGCGTTACCACGTGCTCAAGGGCCGCTACACCACCCAGCAGCTCCTGGACGCTGCCCCTAACACCCTTTTCCGCACATTCAACCAGAACCTGCCGCTAAACAAGACGCTTAAGCCGCTCGAGGTGTACTTCCAGTCGGTTCCGCCGACGAAGTTTGTGTCGCCGCTGAGCGTGCCAAACGCTGGGCTGACTAACAACCTGGCGGCGCACGGCGTGACGTTTGTTATCCTGCCGCCCAACCTCAAGAAGCGTTAGTGAGGGGGTCTTTTAGCGGCAACTCTAGAGACTCTCTACAGCACACATCTGCATAAGCCTGGGAGAGGCTGGAGTCGCTGAGGCTGGGATGGGATGGATTAGATTTCATTCATACTGCCCAAGGGTGAAAAAAAAAGGGTTACTGGTAATTAAAAAGTGGGTCAGAACATAACTTTGAAGAGGAAGTGGAGAGGGTTCCAATATGGTATTGACCTTTCTTGGTTGTGAATGAACACATGCATCGCCATTTGTAGTACGGTAAACAGGGCTGATGTTTCAATAAAAGGCACTCTGAGCTGACCCCCCCAAAAAAAAGAGTCTGAATGGCCTTCAGCCAGAATTTAGGGACTCTGAAATGTCAGAGTCCAGAGATGTGCAACTCTGAAATTCTCAGGATCGCGCAAGTGTACTCAGGGTTACATTTTATGTTATTAAGAAAAGCTATTGTTGTGTATTACATTTTGCTACATTGGACAGGAGCCTATCTACAACTACTACTACCAAACCAAGCAATCACCACTAGCTAACAGGCACCTAGAACTCCGGCACATCTACAGTAATCTCATCATCACCCCCCTCATCGTCGGACAGGAAAGGGTCGTCGCCTAATGTTGGAGCCGCATCATTCTCATCATCACCCCCATCCTCCTCAGCCCACCCCTCCCCCGCGTACTCTGGCACCTCCCCCTGTCCATCCGTTGTGTCCCCCGCCACCTCACCCTCTAGGGCCTTCCCCTTGCGTTTTCGTTCCGCTCTTGCGAAGACAACAGATCGTGCTGGCCGTCTCAGCTTCTCTCGCCAGGTCGCTAGGGCTTCGGTCCAATTGATGTCATACTGCAGCAGCGAGATGGCCATCAACTCGGAGAGGCGCGCGTTGCAGAGTGAGCCACGGACCCAGGACTTAATCACATTCTGCCGAGAGAAGCCCCTCTCACATTCGACGGTTGACAAAGGCAGCACGGCGCAGGCCTGCCAGAGGCGCATCAGATTGGGCCAGCGCCTGACACGGAGCACAAAAACAGAGGCGGAAGAAAGGCAGTAGGAAATGCATACAGTGAAGGCGGATAACAAAAAGATGCGGTTGGCAAGGGCGGCGATGTTGTGCACACTTGGCAAGTAGAATGGAAGGTGGTGATTCAGAAACGACAATATGGTTGGACTTGCCTGCTCGAGTCCGTCTTCGTGAGGTAGTTTGCCAGGCCTTGGTGGAAACTCTCCACCTCGTGATGATTCTGCATGATCGGCGCCCAAGTTGCGAGCTCCCTCTCCGCTGCCTTCACGTCGAAGCCTGGCAGCTTGTGCTCGAAGATGCCGCTGCATCCAAGCAGATACTCTCTCGTCTTCTTCTCGCGCTGCGCCCGTTGTCCCGGCCACTTCGCCGCCACCCAGAGCTTCGTCGGCGACATCTTGCGCAGATCCAGCATCCGCTCTTGTACGTTGGTCATGGTATCCTTGGCGTGCTTCTGGCACAGCTGCACGCAGTCCTTGTAGCTGCTCCCGTACTGGTGCTTGTCGAGGTGCCGCTCGTGCATCTTGTACGTATGGGTGACGGGGTTCCCCTCCAAGTCGATACCGCGCACCTTCACCCGCTTCGTTCCGCCGCGCCCGTACACCGCGAGGAACGCCGAGAGCCAGGTGTTTTCGGCGCCGACACCGAAAATCTCCCCGAAGTCGACATAGCGGTGCCGCAGATCCCCCAGTGTCGCGTCGATGTCCGTTGCCACCTCTGTGACATCGACCTGCGGTGTGAGGGGGGGGGGACACAAAGGAGTGAAAGACATGAGTACTTGCACCAGAGGAGAACACCATGCTTGCAAACATGAGCATCTTACCTCTCGCTTCTGAAACTTGAGGTTGAGGTCGTTCATGAGTGCCAGCATGTCGGCCAGGTAGAAGAGGCAAAACTGAAACTTATACGAAATCACAACCTCATACAGGGGATGCTCATACTCATACAGCAGAACAATCGCACCACCCAACACTTTACACAGCGTCGGATTGCCTCTCCCCTGGACAACCATCGAACTTGATGGATGCCTTGAACCTCAAGGTTGGTGCTGTGAATCGCCCGCTGCAGATGCTTGAAACGACTGCTCCATACGCTCGACCGGCCGAGAAGGTCCGCAAGGGTGCGAGTGACTTTGTCGACCATGTCGAGGTCTGGACATGAAGCGGCAGCATCCTTCACAGCAAGTGCTTCTCTGCATGTACCGACATGGGTAGTGGTTAGCACACAGAAACATAAGAAGCATAAACAGACAGCAAGGAATACTTTAACAAACCTGTGGGCGATGCAGTGGGAGGAAAAAAGGTGCGGGATGATGTCTCGCAGTCGCGCCACAAGCCTGTTGTCTCGGCCGACCATCACCGACGCGCCGTCTGTGCTGATGCCAACGATGCGTTGGAGGTCGATGCCGGACGACTCCAGGTGGGCTAAGAGAGTGGCCATAAGAGAAGCGGCGTCGCACTTGTCAACGTTTAGCAAGGCTAGGAATTCGGTGACGACTCGACGCAGCCGCATGAATGTGATGTAGACGATCAAGTGCTTTCCCCGCGTGCGGTCGGTGCTTTCGTCGCATGAGATGCCGAGGTAAGGTGAGCTCTTGATGTGCTCCATCTGAGTAGCCAGCAGATGCGTAGAGAGACAGTTGACCATCTGCTGGAACCCGTACCTGCAGTGGCATAATCAGAAGTGAGACACTGGGTAATTAGCATTGGAAATGCATTGAAATTTACAAGGTTCATATCAAAATCCAACCATCAACCGGCGAAAGCCACGTAGCCTTACCTGGTGAGATACACTCCGTACGACTGGAGAGGTATGTCTGGTGTGTCTTGCTCTGCCATGAAACGAAGCAGCCGGGGAAACATGGCGATAGGAGCTGTTCTTGCAAAGAAATTCCACGCACCGCAAAAGACGGATGACGCGGCGGCCTTCGACATCGACGGTGGCGAAGCTTGTCATCTTCTGCTGCTTGTCTTCAATTTCCTTTTGAATCTCGAGCTGCCGGCGAACTGCCGCTTCGTGGACTGTTGAGTGTTCATGAATGCGCATCGTCTGTGTCTGGAGATCTCGCCCGCCGTCGCCTGGCCTTGAATACTTCGTCGTTTCTTTGCCGAAGGCTCGGCAAACGCTGCACTTAAGAGCGGGGTAGCCATCTTTACTACGGGTAAGTACAAGCCATGGGAAATAACGCAGCCAATCATTCTTATACTTAGCCTCCGCGACTAGGTACTTCTGCTCGATCAATTCCTCTGTACTTAGCCTCGGTGGCGGCGGTTCATCAGGGCGGGTGACGGGGGTAGGTGAGCGCGGTGGTGAGGGAGGGCGAATCTGGCCACCTGAGTTGATACGCTGCTGTGTATACTTCGCCGTACGTTGTTTCTTCACCGAAGAGACAGTCGATGCGCAGGGCACACTATAACGAACGGTAGAGGCAGTGGCGCAGTCAATAGGATCCACTGGTCCTCTGCTAGAAGATGCTATGGCTGGTGGGAGAACGAACGGAGCGGGGGCAGGTCTACTAGGCAACAATGGCTCATCGCGTGGGGTCTCGTTTACAACGGTTGTGGCGACAAAAGGCGGAGGAGCCGATGCGGCAACGGGCCGCAAGACATCTAGGGCGCTCCTTGGCGCAACGACAGGAACCTTACTGCTGCGCGGCTCATCACCGTCAGCTGGAGCATCGTCGTCGCCATCCTTTTCAGGCATGGCGAGAGGAGAAACGACGTGTAGGAAATGAAGACAGTGACTACAACTACGTCTGTGTCGAAATGAACAACATGAAGGATTTCCCCTCTAAAACCTGAAGCAGTGCGTTCGAAGCTGGTGGGTAAGGAACAACTGGAGAAGAAGGGGTCCATCAAACCCGTGTCGCACCTTTCTTGAAAGGCGTGACGCGGTTTCGGGACTTGTCCATGCACAACACATCGCCATGCTGCCTAGTCGATGTGTTGGCTGCAACTGCAGCCAATGGGGATGATGGCCAACCTCTGCAAGGCTGGCACAGAGGGCACGGGCCCGAAGTTCGCGCATGCACAGAGAGCAACAGAGCAGAATCTGTGGTCCTTAGTGGCTCGGCGTGGCAGCATTTTTGCTGCGCTGGGTAGCAGAGTGCCCACTGTGGGCAGAGTATTCATTGGACTTGGCGGATTTTTCAAGGAAGTGTGGATTCTCCACGTGACGCGGGCGGGAATCACTGATGGCATGCGAAATTTCTAGGGATCTTGCGTGCCCCGTGGAAATCTGTTTCAGGGTTCGTACCCGATGTACTCTGAAAACTCAGTATTGGGTTAGCGTGAACTCTGATTTTTTCAGGATCCCTAAAGTCTAAGTCTGAATCGATCAGGATTGGGAAAATGCATTATCTGGAAATTCAGGTTTAGCCAAAAAAACCGGTCTGAGATTTCAGACTAATCAGAGTAAATAGTCTGATAAAGTCAGCCCTGACGGTAAAACCCGCCAGGTGGCTATTGTTGGGATACAGAACAGATGTGTTTGCTTGCTGCTAATGTTAGCAGAAACACCAGTGCTGTCAGCCGTTGTAAATTTGCGACAAAGTTCACAAATTTGGGCAGGGAAAAGAATTTGAGAGATCCTTGTCAAACTACCGTAATCCCCCGGATATAACACCCCGGGTATAGTACAAAATTCATGCAAAATCAGGGGGGTGGGTGCTCTATTTCGCGTTTAGGCTATAGCACCCTGGTGTTATATTTGAGGACAGATTTTTCAAGATGTGCAATATGTCAGAATGTAAGAATGAATTACTAGTGTGAGAAACCTAGAACATATACCTGTTGGGGTTGTACTCACTAGAAGCACACACCTAGGCTAGCCTATAACTTCTACATACAGCATATGTATAACTTGACACACCCCCTAGGCTAGAGAATGGGTGGTGCTAAGCAAGAAGCACACAGCTCAGGGTGGCACTACTAGTCCAACCACTGAGGTAGGGGTCCGGAGACCAGTCAACAAGAGTACAAGCAAGACTAAAGCAAGCCAGGGCGGCACTACTAGTCCAGCCACTGGAGGTAAGGCCACAAGGCCAGTCAGACAGGTATATATAATAGAGAGTACACAATCAGGGTCCTAACATGTGAGTAGCTACAGGAACAAGACCAAGCTGTACACAGTGCCACTGATGATCTTTAGGCGCAAGCGCCTTCGTAAAGATATCAGCTGTGTTGGCACCGGAGGCCAAGTGAACTACGCGGGCCTGGCGACGCTGCTGTAGCTCGCGTAGGAGGAAGTACCGCAGCTGGTTATGCTTCGCTCTGCCCTCAAGTCAAGGTTCCTGGCACAGGAGAATCATGGCCCTGTTGTCAGTGTACAGGACCGGGGCAGAGCTAGGCCGCTCACCTAAGTCTGTGAGCAAGAAGGTAAGCCAGCGGGGCTCCTGTATCGCCATGGCACCGGTGTAGATCTCAGCCTCACAGCTGGACTGGGC